TGTCTGTCTGTAGGCTGCCATCCCCAGTCTGTCTGTCTGTAGGCTGCCATCCCCAGTCTGTCTGTCTGTAGGCTGCCATCCCCAGTCTGTCTGTCCGTAGGCTGTCATCCCCAGTCTGCAGTTACTGGGGCTTCACATAAGCCACCAATGATCCAATGTCACCACAGACAGATGAAAATACCTCCTATGTATCTTCTTAAAATCCTTACCCACAAACCTGTGGGAGGAGGCCAGAGGTCAGGGCAGGACACTGTCATAACAAGGCTGTTCCCTTGAGAAAAAGGGAGAAGCAGTTTCTAGAAACTTGCAAGTTGTAGGTAACTGTCAGGAACTACTGCTTTAAAAGAGAGCCATGTCTCCTTTAAATTTTATTTACTTTATAAATAAATTTAACTTATCTTTCATTCACAGTAGAAACCATTAGAGTCGAGCTATAATATCCGTGCATTTGTGTTATATACTGGAGAGTGCTGTGCTATTTCTAGATATCAGACTGTATAATGGCACTTCAGTAACCACACAAGAGCAAAACAAAACAAAACCCACATGGTTCAATGAGGTCTTTGATCATAAACCTTCTTCCCTATGAAGTGGTGGCATATGCCAGAAATTACTGTAGGCATCAAATAGTGTGAGTAATATAGACTGAATAGATGTAAATGGCCGTTGTTATTAAATTACCAATCACATTCTATGTCTTCATCACTGGGGTTTCACATCTAATGATAATGGTTTTGTAAGAGGCATACATGGGATATGTTTTCATATCATTATTAAATTAGAATGAATGACTTCATATTAGAACATTAACTGACTTTAAAAGCCATGGCTAGAAAATGACAGGACTAGATTAGAATCTAATTGCAGAACTGCATTTCAAAAGATGAGCTGGGATGGGTCCCATTAAAGATTATGTGCATAACAGAGAAGAGCTGATTGCATCAGAAAGAAAAGAGGAGATGTAGAGTGGGATGAAGTGGAGAAGATGGAGGGATGGGAGAGGTTGACAGTAT